ATTGTGACTTAATTTTTAAATTGATTAATTATTGGTTGCAAATTTTAGCTAACAGTTGCCTTAACTAGCATCAGACTCTATCTGGCAAACGAATATTTTTTAATGTAATTTTTCGCTTATTGAAAAATTGTTAAGCCTTTGTCAATGTTGTAAAACATTGCCATTGTCAGCTGACCGTAAGAGCTGAGCTTTAACCATTAATCAACCCGTCACTCAGCCAATCAATGCGTCAATCAAACTGGATACATACAATACAAAAGTTACGTTGATCAACAAAGAGTTACATCAAATTAATTAAATATGTTTCTCATGTTGGGCGAACAGCTGAAAGGAGAGATTTACGCCAAAGAGTCGAAATACAAAAACAAATTAATTACAAACTGGGCCACAAAACTTATCGAGGCACATTTGTGGTCTATGCAATATTTATAAGCCGATTGCAAAAGGATATTTTACGAGTTTATTACTTTTTGCGCATATTGTCACGAGATTTCAGATGCATTGGCCCATTTATAGGTATATAGAATATGTTTCATATATGTATATACATATATAGTAAATGTATATGAATATGCACTTTATTCTATTTCAATTTAAAGTTTTTAATGAGTTTTTGGCAAACAGCGCTAATGCCCAACACACAGCTGAATACGTTTTGCGAGTGAGTGAATTCGTTATATACATACATATATATATATATATTTATTACATACACACCTATATAAATGCGTTTACGTATCTGGGTCTGTGTCCATGTTAACTCGTTTTGTGGCTTGGCATTTGTTTCGTTACGCCAGTTCATTTATTTTTGCCCAAAAGTTCATTTAACTATCCTAGCGCAGATTTAAGCAAATTTAAATGCAAAGAAATAAATTGAATAAAAAAAATCAACAAAATACAAAACTGAATTCAATTTAAATGCATTTGCAGATTTGTTGTTATCGATGCAGCAAAATGTTGCCATGTCTGCTAATTGAATATTAAATTTGCAAACATATTTAGCTGGAATTTCATATATGTATATACATATACATATATATATTTTAGACAAAAATCGCAATTTAATTGCGTGAAAAAATCTATATATATTTGGCTGCAGCCAAAAATTGATAACAATTTCACATTTACAATTGAAATGGCCAACAAAAGGCATCAATTCGATGTGGCAGCAAATGGCTGCAAGGATGCCGAGTCCTGTGTCCAGCCCATCCTTGTCTTCTTCTTTTATGAGTTTGCTGCTGACAGCAGCATTGTTGGCGCCTCATGCTGTAACTGAAGCTGAAGCTGATGCCTGACACATCGATACAAAAGTGGCCCGGCGAGTGGCAACTGGTAGCTAGCTGGAAGCTGTTAAGGCTGATGATGATGCTGTTGCTGATGCTGATGTCTGACATTAATGAGCATTGTGAAAAGTTGCTCCTCAATTTGCCTGTCACTCAGTCAGCGGCAGAGCCAATGATTCGCATTATGCACATCGCCTTTTGGTGGTTTTAAAGGCTGACTTAATAACGTTGTCGGCATCTCGGACATAGACAGTGCGTGAGAGCGAACTACTTGAATCTACTTCAATATAGCATAAGGACATAAATAGGACTCTTCATATAGAAATATGATGTGATTATAAAAATTAAATGAAAATTTAGCGTAAATAATAGTAAAAAAAAATTAAATAAAAAATAAAACATGTTAAAGCAGACTATAGATAAAACAAACAAAAAATAATAAAATAAAAAAAAACATCTAAAT